CTAGTCCTTTGAAGTGTCACCAAATACACAGCAGACACAGAAGAGGTGGGAAGGGGTAGGTCTAATGGGAAGGGGCTCAATAACCAGAATAGTTCAGGAAAAGCCCAGATATTAATCTCAGTTCTGCTACCATCCTGAAACAAGGAGCTAATACCCTGGGGTGCTGTTGAGAAGATTCTTCCCTTCTCTAGAGACCACTCTCCTCTAAGCTAACTTACCCATCCTCTGAGCTTGGCAGCATCTACTTATTGCTACATTGTCAAGGAGGAACAATCACCCCACGATGCCTCTCCCTGCCAATCTGGTTCTCTTGGGGAAACCATGTAATGGGGAAGAAAAAAGAGGAAGAAGAGGATAAAGTTTTTTTAGGGTCTCCCTTTCCACAAGAAGGGAAGGTAGACTCCTCTTAGAGCCCTTAAGAGCCCCAATCCCAGGGTCTGTTCCTTAGCCCACCCTTTACCATCCCCCCAAAATATCCCTGATAGGGAGTGAGAAAAGTAGGAGGCAAAAGAGCCAATAAGGAAAGGACAAGTGGAAAGAAAGATAGAAGGGAAAAGGAGAGAGAGAAGGACCAAGAGTTACAACTTGTGAGGTGTTGTGTTTGGTTTTTAGTTTTTTTTTTTTTTTTCTTTAAACATAGAAAAACAGCCTTTGGTTTGAATCTCAAGGAAGCAGAGAGTGGGATGGCTGTGGCCTCAGGCAGAAAACTCTTGTAGAAAGAGACCTCCACTTGTAGTGGACTTGTATCTCTTCCTGCCCCTTCTTACTAATACTAGGTTACCCAAATAGCCAGGGGTCTCTGCAGGAGGAGTACCCCATCCTACCCTATGTCTGGGAGCTGAGTATAGAAGGGGGCAGTAAAGGATGACCCCAATTCAATTGTGCCCATCCCATTCTTGTTGGGACAAGGGTGGAATGGTGTGAGGGGTACATGCCCTTGCTCATCCTGGGATAGTTTTTGGTTATACTGAAAATTAGAAGAGAGAAAAGAGACACGAGTTTCTCTCTGCCACTGATCCTAAGAATAGGGCCAGGAACCTGGGAATGAGAGGGTGAACCCTGCTGGGAGAGAAAAGCAGAAGGCAGCATGACTGAGGGGTTGAGATAACCCCTTGTCATCAGGCAGCAACCCACTAGTTTCTCATAGCATGGGGAGTAGCCCGAGAGCCTAGGAAGGTCACTAGAGTGAAGACGTTTGAGAGGTGGAGGAGAAAGAGAAAAATATTGATCCCCCCACCCACTTCCCATGCCCTGGTTCCCAATTAGGCACCTGTGGCTCCCAATGTGTCAGAGACAGGGTTGCAGATCTAGCCATGGCCCCTGAGAATATAAAACTGGGGCACTGCAAGGAGAGAAAAGCCACCACTGAAAAGAATGGCAGGTCGAAGAGACTAGAGCAGTGTTGAGGAGTTGTTTAAGGAGAGGGAAAAGATATATCACATCCTAGAGGGAGATCCTGAATGTAGGATTTGAGGAACTCATATTATTAGGGGAACATCAAGAGGACCCTCAGTCCCACAGTGCCTGGGGAGAATTTTTCAGCCCCTCCTACTTCCAAATGAGGAAATAATTCTTCATTCATTCAAGAATAGTGCAAGCTGCCTAAAGTGAGAGGGCACAAGAGGTATGGAGTACCAGGTTGAAGAGTCCCAGAGAGGAGATATAATGCCACAGAGCTAAGGTAGGGCCAGAGGGAGGTATCAGTATCAAAACTGAAGAATTAGATAATGTAGAAGGTGAGGACTTAAAGCAAGAAGCTCAAGATCTCTTAGTAAGTACTAAGAGGGGCTTCCTACCCTGGGGCTGTTGGAGGACACTGGATCAAAGAGAAAAATTAGGCCTAACATGGAAGGGGGCTGTGGGCAGGGGGGTGGGGGAGTGGCAAGTGAGTGACATAGATGGGAAAAAAAAAGCAAAAGAAAAATCAACTAATTAATAAATAACTCAGTAAGTATGCTGTGATGAGAAGGGAAGAGAAAAAGGAGAAACAAGCAAAAGACCTGTTTCATCACAATGCGTAAATTGGTCAGGGGAGTGAAGGAGCACAGGTGAGGAGGAGTCAGGGTCAGATGTGAAGTTAGGTAGCCAGTGGTGGGGGCTACAAAGCAAAACTTGGGATGTGGGAACAGGGATAGACACCTGTTGTAGGTGGGGCAGTAGAGTGGTGGACTGAGGGGAGAGGGAGAGGTTGCTAGCCCACCTTATGCTCCCCCCGGACAATGTGGGAAGAGAATTCGTACCGGTCCTGGCTGTGGTAACCACAGATGTTGCACTCAAAAGGGTCTCTGAAGCCATGGCAGCCCATGTGGATAGTGAACATGACGTGGTCCAGGAAGAGTATGCGGCAGTGCTCACACTTGAAGGCCTTCACGGGCTCACCGCTCTCACCCACCACCCGAAGCACTTCCTTGGAAGGGCCTGGGGTACCCCGAAATAACCCCTCCTGTGGTTTGGGGTCCTCTTTGGCGTAGGCAGGACTGTGCCGGCCCACCACAATGGTGGGAGGTGGCTGGGATGGGGGACCCTGAGGGAGGGATACCACCCCCCCAACCCGATCTTCGTGGTTGCTCTCTGTGTCTGTGGAGTCCTGGCAGCCATTGCTGGGGGATGCCCCAGGGTCAGTCAGGGGGCCTCGGGCCCGGTAGAGGAGGGGACCTCCATCAGCCAGGTCCTCGGGTCCCTCACCTGCTTCTCGGGACCCTGGAAGCTCCAGTCGACTAGGAAGGGGCTGCATCTGGGTGTAGACAGAGCTGATGACAGGCGTGAGTTCTGAGATGCAATTGGTAGGTGGAAGGCGGAGGGGACGCAGATGCTCTGCGCCCACAAAGGCCAGGGAACCTCCAAAGCCAGGCTCCAGACCATGGTGTGCCACCAACTCTACATCCTTTTCATAGCCACCCGAGTTCACATCATAGGGGAGGTCCGAGAGGCTGAAGCGCATCTGCTTTTCGCCTATGGAGAAAAGGGTCTCAGCAGGGCTGGGTTTGGAGGATTCCTAAGCTCTCTCCAGAATTACTTTGTTTTCTTGACTGTGGGGATGGATGTAACAGTATTTACTCCTCCTCATTTGCTTTTCCCAAGGTCAGATCCTCTGTGGGGTTGCTCCCTGACTCTAGGCTGTAATCTTAGAGAAGGACTCAGTCCCAGTCCATGGATCTTTTTTTTTTTTTGTTTGAGCAGAGTCTCACGTCGTGTCCGTAGCTGCTAGAGTGCCGATGGTCGGGTCAGCCTAGGCCGCACAACAACCTCAAACTCCTGGGGTTCAGCAGTCCTTGCTGGCTCGAGTCTCCTAGTAGCTGGACTACAGGCTTGTGGCCCCCATGCCGGCTATCTTTTTTCCTATATATTTTAGGTTGGCCAATTAATTTTCTTTGCATGGGTAAGTAGAAGCATGACGCGGGTCATCGCTCTTGGCCAGGCGCCACTGACTTGAGTGACCTCCTGCCTCACGGCCTCCCAGAGTGCGTAGGATTACAGGGCGTGGCACACCGCCGCGCGGATCTTTAATACATCTGACGTCATACTCTCCTATACAGAGCCCTCGCAGGTCCTTAAAGAGCCTACGGATGACCAGGTGCCAGTCATTCTCACTTGCCTGCTCTCCTAACTCTAAGGCATCCAGACTGAAGTTCCTTGTTATTCTCAAAAACTCGCGCCTCTCGCCCTCCTCCCCTACAACCACCACAAGAAGTCTCAACACTTGTGACCCCTTCCATCCCTCAGGGTACACGCCCTTCCCTCTCGACCCTTGCCTATTCTGTAGAAAGATTCCGGAGTACCAGGAGACCACCAGACGCTTCTTTCCTAATGCAAATCTCCAGACACGTTCCTCTGGTCAAATGGGTTACGTTGGGAGCTCACACGATTTTACTTGAGCTATGGCTTCCCTTTCCAAATGGATTCTTAACCTACAAGACTTCTGGTGCTGGAACGCTTGCGTTTGCGTGAGCTGTTGCCAGCACGATGCAATGAAAGTTGGCCGATCAGAGGATGAGGCAGCATGACTCTGTGGGCCACCATCTCCAGGTCACGTATCTCGTCCTGACGTGGGGAGAGAAGAGTAGACGTAGTAGCAGTGCGTAAGGGCTCAGCATTGGCCCAGCTGCTTTGCCGAAAAATTCAGTAGGTCAGTATCTAAGCGAAGTCATACTTGATGCGCTGGGAAACTGGGTGTTTTTACTGTTACTCCGACCTAAAGCCTCATCCACAGCAACATTCAGATGTGGAACAAAAAAATAATAAAAATACATTTGGCACCATTGTATGCGGTCTTCATACAAGCTTGTAATAAAAACCTCATACTCTCGCCTTTAGAAAAAAGGACATAGACTCAAAAAGATAAAAACTTACTTCTTTATTTTTTTTTATTAAAAAGACAAGAAGGTCGTCTGCTTTGTTGCCAGCTAGAGTGGAGTGCCATGCGTCAGCCTACGCTCACAGCAACTCAAACTCCTCGGGCTGCGAGCGACTCCTTCTGGCTCAGCCTCCCCGGAGTCTGGACTACAGCATGCGCCCAACCATGCCGGGTAATTGTCGCGCTAATAAAAAATAAAAAATTATCAGAAATATTAGAGCACATTAGATATAGTATATTCATAAAAAATAAAAAATAATATAAAGCAAAAAAAAAACTAGAGGAACAGAAAGAAAGAAAAAAAAAAAAAAAAAAGTCTCGCGTTGCTCAGGGCTGGTTTTGAACTCCTGACCTTGAGCAATCCGCCCGGCTCGGCCTCCCAGAGAGCTAGGATTATAGATTATAGGCGTGAGCCACCGCGCCCGGCCCTCTCTTACTTCTGTATCTCCCTAAAGCACCTATCACAGATAGGGCTCTGTACCACATAGGGGTACTCAGGATGGGATGCTTGACAGATTTACTGGGGTAGCTATCCCCTATTCCACAGACCTCATTCCTCTGTGGGAGGAGGTGCTGGAATTGCCTTTGTCCTGCTCTCCCTGTCACTCTGCCCATAACTCCTCCATAGTACTGCCCGCAGCCCCACCTGGTTGGCCAGCCAAAGCTTGGGCTTCAGTGCTGAGACTCTGTAGGTAGTTGTGGCACCGCTCCTTGTGCTCCTCTAGGGTACTCTGCTGTTTGTAGCTCCGGCCACAGTAGTTACATTTGTAGGGCTTGCCCACTGTAGGAGAGGAGACTGTGGAAGAGAGAGGAGAGATGGCATCAGAGTTACTTCTCCCTATGCCTTGGCTCTGCAAAATCATCCAGGAGCAAATGTACACTGGCATGGGGAAGAAGGGATGTTGCTAAGTTGAATTCTTCTGCTTGTCTTTCCTTCCCCAACTTCAGCTGCAACCATGGACAGATGAACCATATTTGGGGATGGGGTATAATATGCAGCTATGGGAGTGAGGGGATCCCTGGGCATGTAGCTTCAGACTGGTGGTGGGCTTCAAGATGGCCAAGTTGCTGCTCAAAGGAAATGAGGACCTAGGGACTTTGTAGGGGATCGTTCCTGACAAGCAGGTAGGCCCCACCCCAGGATCTCAGAGTCTGGGGCCCAGACTGTGGTTTAACCTTTCCATGTGGCAGGCGGATGTAAGTGCTGTTTATCAGACAAGGGGATTTTCTGCTTACGAACTCTGTGCTTTGGTTTGGGGGAAATAGGTGGGCTGAGTGACAGAAGAGCCCTTAGATCTGCCAGTGTGGGGAGGCATGGTTATCATTGACCTTTAGTTGTATTTTACCTCCAGTCCTAGCCTGGTTTTGCTGATTATTTTGCCTTTCTGTCTCTCTACACTGAGATACCAAGAGAGCCCTAGAAAGAGCATTCTTGATAGAGAAATTCTGAAAAGAGACAAAGAATAAAAGAACAGAAAAGGAAATAGAGGAGATGAGTAAAAAGAAGAGAATACCAAGTTTGATTTTTTTTTTGGTTTTGGTTTTAAATAAAGAACAGGTTATAAAGATCTTGTTTCTACTGAAGAAAAAAACTGGGAAAACAGAGTGGTGCTTCGTTTAAAGACAACTCTTAAGACATGATACTTGTGAGAGGAGAGAAAAAGGTGAAGAGAAACAGGTATTGTATATTTTATGTATCTTGCTACGACTGAGCAGGGAGACAGGAGAAGGTATCTCTAAGAGGCTGGTAATTACTACTCACTGACCCCCCTCTCCATGCTTGTGCTGGCCCTTCACTACATCAGTCTACTGCCATTTTGCTCTTGCTCTTTAAACCCTAGTATTTTAAGAATGAGACGAACACCATGGTCCCTACCTACTGAAGACCCTTGGGGAAATGGTTTAACATCTGGGAAAGGAATGATTCTCCAACCCCTTTTTTTCTTTCTTGTTTATTTTTAAAGTTTTCATTGATACATAGTAATTGTACATATTTATGAGGTATATGCAATATTTGGATACATGTGTACAATGTATAATGATCAAATCAGGGTAATTGGTATATCTATCACCTCAAACATTAATCATTTTCTTGTGTTGGGAACATTCAAAAATGCTCTCTTCTAGGTACTTATAACATGGGTTGTAACAGAAAGTATCTCACAGAAATGTGTGGGACTCTAGAGTATATCTGTGTCTGCTTCTGTTGTTAATAATTTCCCACAGAACAACATCCAAAATCTACCCAGTTGACCTCGCTGTAGTTGGTAAGAATTCTAGGGGCCAGGTCAGCCTTGTTCCAAACCAGCAGGGGGAGCAGCCCCTTTTCTGAGGAAAAGGAATGCGTATGTCTGGCACTGGACTTTGCTTGATTTGGAGTTCTGGTTAAGCTGCAGGATAGCATTCTAACTGGCAATTCATTTTCCCCCCACAGCTTCAGTTTCCTTTTCAACAAAATGGGATAATCACATCTACCTTGGAATTGTTATGAGGATCATATGAAGAGACACAAGTGAAATGCTCTGTAGATTATAAAGCATGAATCAACGATGATCTTTCTCCCTGTTTCTCCACATACATAGAGATAAAGTGGTCCCAGATACAAGGTGGGAGAACCTGGAACAAGGTAAGTGGATGGAGAAAGTAGAGGGTGGTGAAATGATTGCTCTGTCCCTTTAAATCCTGCTCAGGAGAGTTTAAGAAAAGAAAAAAATAGCCAGGAAAGTTTCCAAGGACAGACCCTGCTAATTCTTTCCCCTCTTCCCTTCTTCCTGCTTTTTCCCAATCTTGAGCTCACTCCTTCCTGCCAGTTCAGCTCCTGGCCTCCTCCCAAGTCTGAGCCAAAAGCTTAAAGCACAGAAAAATGCCTGAAAAATGCTATGTGTCCAGCTGATTCAGACAGATATTGATTCAAGCAGTCTTGACTGGGCTAGAAAACCTTGTTAATCCAGTTTCCCGGCACTGTTCCACACATTGACCTCTAGGCACCCTCTGGACTTGCTTATACATCTGGGAAAGTGACAACTTCTAGGGATAGGGAAATAGGATACTCTCGTCCTATTTGGAGGGCTTAGGCTCCCTTTGTCCAATTTGAGAGGCCTATGAATATTTATAGGAGCCAGTAGGAAGTAAAGGAGAGGACAGATAGTGGCTGCCCAAGACCTGGTGTTGCAGGGAAAGGGTGAAGATGGTGACAGGTGTGGGGCCTGGGGCAGATGGGAGTGGGAGGAAGGATTTCTCTGGGGCTCAGAAATGAGGGGTGATAGAGCAGGGAGGGCTCTGGCATCAACAATCTTTAAAAAACAAAAGTCAGAGAGGGTGACCATTAACAGGCAAGAACATTGCCCATGTTCCTTTTGCTCCATGTCACAGAATGTGATGGATGTAAAATACCCCATCAGAGAGTCCCCCAAATTCCCCATGGGGCCCTACTGCCCAGAGGAGGGCTTAGAGAGACATGGCCCTATTTGCTCCATAAATGTTCTCCCCTCCTCAGTCATAGACGCTGTAACTCCCCAGATAAAGAGAAGTCGCTGAACTCTGTTCACTGGGTGTGCAGGAAGGAGCCCCGTCCCCTCCCCTCCCACTGGACAGTCACTGACCCGAGTGTGTGCGGAGGTGGCCAGTGAGTGCATCACGCCGGCGGCAGGCATAGTTGCAGAAGGGACATTTAAAGGGTTTCTCCCCAGAGTGCAGCTTGATGTGGCGCAGCAGGTTCCCCTTCTGGGTGAAGGAGGCACCACACTGGTTGCAGTGGAAGGGCCTTTCACCTGCAAGTGAAAGAACAGATTCCAGAGGACTGGGCATGAGGAATGTTGAAGGTTGAGCCTAGCCCCCAACCCTCTGCCCTACCTTGCCCTAGGGAAGGTGCTCGGAACACACTGCTAAAGGGCAGGACTGTGCCACACACACTAATGCTGCTTTGTGTAGATTAGAGGTGTGTGGCAGGGATAGGGGCACCAGGCCTGGAACACAAGGCCAAAAGACTGTTACCAAAACTGAGCCCCATGGGGCCCACTCTGCCCCAGGAGCCCAAGGTTTGAGGAAGTTGAGAAGAGGAGGCTTCTGTTTTCTTTTTCTTTTTTTTTTTTTTGAGACAGTCTCGCTTTGTTGCCCAGGCTAGAGTGAGTGCCGTGGCGTCAGCCTAGCTCACAGCAACCTCAAACTCCTGGGCTTGAGCGATCCTTCTGCCTCAGCCTCCCAAGTAGCTGGGACTACAGGCATGCACCACCATGCCCGGCTAATTTTTTATATATATATCAGTTGGCCAATTAATTTCTTTGTATTTATAGTAGAGACGGGGTCTCGCTCTTGCTCAGGCTGGTTTTGAACCCCTGACCTTGAGCAATCCGCCCGCCTCAGCCTCCCAAGAGCTAGGATTACAGGCGTGAGCCACCGCGCCCGGCTGTTTTCTGTTATTGTTTTTTTAATTATGAGATAGGAGGGCTCAAACAATACCTAGGAGTTCTATCCCTACTCGACTATAGGACTCTTATTGAGAAAAAAATCAGCTTCTTAATTTAACTTTTTATTTTATTTTATTTACATATATTTATTTATTTTTGAGATGGAGTCTTGCTCTGTTGCCCGGGCTAGAGTGCTGTGGCTTCAGCCTAGCTCACAGCAACCTCAAACTCCTGGGCTCAAGCGATCCTCTTGCCTTAGCCTCCCGAGTAGCTGGGACTACAGGCATGTGCCACCATACCCAGCTATGGGTATTTTTTCTATTTTTCTATGTTTTCCATTTTTAGTTGTCCATCTAATTTTTTCTATTTTTAGTAGAGATGGGGTCTTGCTTTTGCTCAGGCTGGTCTCAAACTCCTGACCTCAAGTGATCCTCCTGCCTTGGCCTCCCAGAGTTCTAGGATTACAGGTGTGAGCCACCATGCCCAGCCTAATATTTTATTTTTTTAATTTATAAATAACAACAGTTGAGGAAAGTGCCAGGAAAGTACAGGTGTTGAGGGGAATCCAAATTCCATTCCCTCCCACTTTTTTTGTCAGCTAGAAAATGTGTTGGGAGAGACCCTTCCCTTTCTGAGGCCACCCTAGCCCCAGCATGGCCTCCTCCAGCCCTCTTTCTACCGTTGTCCCAGCACTGTGTCTGCCTCTCAGCCCTACCCTGGGAGCTCCTCCCTGAGTCCCTCTGGCTTACTCACCAGTGTGGCTGCGCTTGTGCACCATGAGCACGTTGGGTCCGATACAGACCATGCCGCAAACATCACACTTGAGCTTGCCATTCGGCAGCCGGATGCCACCAGGGGAGTGAGGCTCTGGCCCACTCCCATCACAGTAACCCAGGGGCTCCGACAACGAGTCTTCCACAATCACACTGTCATCCTTTTCCAGGAGCCGCTCATCTGGCCCCAGCAGTCTGCTCGACTCCTCATCGCTGTACATCTCCACCTTGATGGAGTTGGCTGGAGGGTGGGATGGTGTTTAGAACAGAGACAGGCAAAAGGGGAACCTACCCTCAGGCCAGAATGGCACTCCTAAAGGCCAAGAGGGTGCCCTCAGGCCCTGAGACACTCAGGCCTTAAAAGGGGCCAACACCCTAGTATTCCAGGTGGTGATATCAGAGTCCTACTAGAACCTGAAATAATCTTTTCCTTTTCTCCTACCCACCAGGACAATAGGCTGCAAAGAGAAAAAGTTGGGGTACATAGGATGTCTTTTGTCATTGAAGAGAGGAGGCGACTAAGGGGAGCCTTTTTTCTACTCTCTTGTCATTAAGAAAGATGTCTGGCTTGGCTCTGGGCAGGAAGCCAGCAAGTAACAGTGGCGGGAAAACAGTCCCAGGAAGACTGAAGGGGGACAGCAAGCTAACGAAGGACCAAAACTGAAAGACACACATGGCTTACATTTTCCTCTCATACCATTAGACTGAACCCCTCTACCCCCTCCATAAAAATCTGAGGCTGAGCAAGGGGGATAAAGGAAGGAGGAGCCATTGAGGAGAAGGCTTTGGCTCTAGCTCTGACCTACATTCCTGGCTATTCCAACCATTTAGAGAATGTCACAGATCTAGGGCCAGCTGGGGAAGGGCAGTCATGGGGACCCTGTCTGGGCAGGAGAATGGGGTGTAGGGAGATGGGGAGGCCCTTCTACTCTCTATTTCCTATCTAACTCCACCTAATGACCATTTCTATCTACCTGCTTCTCCAATTCCAGAATTTCTCTTTGGAACCTTCACCTTAAATCCCACCCATGCCTTTTTTTTTTTTTTTTTTTTTGAGACAGCCTTTTTTGTTGCCCAGCCTAGAGTGAGTGCCATGGCATTATCCTAGCTCACAGCAACCTCAAACTCCTGGGCTCAAGCAATCCTCCTGCCTCAGCCTCCCGAGTAGCTGGGACTACAGGCATGCGCCACCATGCCCGGCTAATTTTTTCTATATATATTAGTTGGCCAATTAATTTCTTTCTATTTTTAGTAGAGATGGGGTCTCACTCTTGCTCAGGCTGGTCTCGTACTCCTGACCTTGAGTGATCCTCCAGCCTTGGCCTCCCAGAGTGCTAGGATTAGAGGCGTGAGCCACTGCGCCCGGCCTCACCCATGCCTTTTTTAAATTCCACCCTAGTTTGCCAGTGACTCTTCACTTTCCTTTTGGAAACTAGGAAAACCCTAGGCACTGGGCTCCTTACTGGTCTTAGAGACTCTAAGCAGGAGACCAAAGGAGGCGACAGTGGGGAAATGGTTGCCGGTGGAAGGCAAACGGAGAGCCAAATGCACAGGGGCTGCCTACTGCCAGGAGCCAGTAGGAGGCTGCACTTACCACTGAGTGAGCGGCTGGGAGAAGAGTGCTGGCTGTTGGGGGTGCTCACCGAGGGCCCCACTGGGGCCCCAAGGAACTCCTTCTCCAGAGATGAGTCCCCGCTACCTTGGAGGAGAGAACAAGAGGGCAAGTAAAGCTGGAGCTGGAGCCATCTACTGTCCATTGCCTAATCTTAAAAAAATTCAGTTAAATTTCACAAACATTTATTTCATAGCCATGTACAAGGCAGTGTTTTATGCTGGGCACCATACCTTGTGCCTTCCCACCAGTCTGGGTGCCTGGTGCTGACTTCTGCGAGCTCAGTGGCTGGGCCTTGCCTACCTTACCTTTATTTAGGCCTGGGGGGAAGAGCATCACTGCCTGACGTCCACAGGAAGCAGAGCTGGGGCTGGGCGGGCCAGGGCAGAAAGGAAAATGGGGGCCTCAGGAGGGACAAATGTTCAAGACAGATGTTTTTCCCTATGGTTCCTCTCTGGAGCTCCCAACAACAGATTTGGGATCTGTAGGAAGGGCAGCTGGAATTATCCCTGAATCTAATGATAATATTAGTAATAATGACAGCAGCTAATATTAATTGAATGTTGACTATGTGCCAGGCATTATCCTATGCACTTAGAATGAATTATTTAATCTTCATAATAACCCTGTGAAGTGGGTGCTAATATCATCTTGATTTTTCAGATGAGGAAACTGAGGCACAAGAGAGGTTATGTTACTTGCTAACATAATGTGACGTAGCCGGTACTGGTGGTACTTGGATCTGATCACAGACAGTAAGTGCCCATGTCCTTAACCACTGTCTACATGGCCAATTAGGAGGTACTGTGTCAGCTGGGGAGAGTAGGGCCCACTAGACTTTCTAAATTCAGCAAAAATTTGACTACTATAGAAAGCCTCGTGCTGATCTGATTCTAATCACATATTTACTATTTGATGATCCCTTGACAGTTAAATAATCAGCTTATTCTCAATATATTTATTTTAATTTGTTGACAAATTGAGTTATAAAAATGATTTTTGAGAGTTTCATGATATTTTTCAAAATTAGATAATATACCTGAAGATACATATGTCTTTTAAAAAAAAAAATCCCTCCTCCCCACAGTCTTCTGCACAAATATACAGGTGAAATAAAAACACATAGGTAAACACACACACAGACACATATCACATATGTAGATACATATAAAGAAAACATACCTACTGGGATAAACATACCCATAGCCTTCTATATTATCTGCTAACACGAACATGCATGGATATATGCACACAGGCATAAATATGGAAAAGAGAGAGAAAGAGGGAAGGAGAGGACAGAGAGAGAGAGAGAGAGAAACCCTAAAATTCATCCCTAAAGTCCACCTATTAGTACTTTACCCAAGTGCCCAGCTATGTACATACTTACTTTCACAAAATAAAGATTCCATTATAAAATGGTTGGAGTCTTGGGCCTGAGGCAAGAAATCCGGAACACACCCTCCTGAGGGATCCCTCTCCAGCTTTGGTCAGTGGGAAGAAAACAACCACTCAGGACTTTGGGACCATTTTCCATTCATATCCTCTCCTAAAGTCCCATTTCCCCCATTCTTCCCATCAAAACCTGAGGAAATTTATTCACTATCTATAGAAAAAGCCTTATGGCTTGAATCTGAATTTTCCCAGCTGGGGCTCCTTAGGTGAGCCACGGTTACCTAAAAAAGCCCCAAATCAGAATCACACACATATCATGAAGTAAGCATCTCAGGGGTGTGGGTTGAGACTTGTAGACTCAGAGCCAGTTTTAAAATATGTCCTTTCAACTACATGTAGGATTTACTAAGGTATCTTCTTACTCCCTTTCAAATATTAGTGCTGACTTGCCCTAAATCACTGGATGTTAGTAATCAGGGAAGAACAGGGATCTGGGCTCTGGCACTTGGTCCTTGACCCTAAACAGATGAGTGGGCTTGCTAGAAATCCATTGCTGGTCCCAGTGTACTAGGCTGAGGCTGCCTCTTGGGGCCAGGGGCTTGATATATGGGGGAAAATGTCTTTAAAGAGATACTTATAAACATGAAGGGGAAGCATCCTTTCTGGCTTTCCCAATTAAGGTGTGGAAACAGGAGGAAGAGCAGGAGCCTCCAGAGTCATACCAGTAATTCAAGAGGCCCTTTGATGCTGCTGTCCTCCCTATGATAAAGTTAAGAAGGAAAATAGGCTCAAGACTACTTTAATGGGGCTAATACATAAAAATGAATCTGTCTCAGGGGTCAGAAAGTCTGTCTGGGGCCCCAGGGATTTTGAATTTCTAGACAGGGGGTGAAGGGGACTACAGTAAAATTTAGGAAGTTCAGCAGTTCTTCTCTCAGCCCCAGAAACCCCAGTGAGGGAATTTTAAATGTCTGGGACTCCCAAGAAATCCCAGGCTGTCAAAGCCAAGAATTAAGGCTGCTTTCAGCTTTCAGAAATTTTCTTGGTCAAAGTCATCCTAGATTGGCTGAACCTCCAGAGGGCAAAGCCAAATCATGAGGTTTACATCAGAGGAACTGGGAGGTAGGTAAAGGGCAGAAAAGCAGCAGGAAAGAAAGGAACTGGGAAACAGCCCACAAGCTCAATGTGTTTCACATGTTGAGGAGACTAGCCCTCAGCTCTTGCTGCCCTTCCTTGCTCCCTTCAAATAGCGGCTACCTCTAGGGAATGGCCATGAGCTTGGAGAACCTCCACACTTCTCTGCAAGGGACCTTATCATAACTGCTTTCTCTTTCTTGACCATGGGCTCCAGGGTGGCAAGATGCTAACCTGCTATCCGGGAATAGTGGGTTCAAGAGCAAAGAAAGACGCCCATCCTCAGCTCTATTGTGGGGAGGAGGCTGAGGTCCCTCAGATCTCTGCTCAAGGCTGAGGCATCTGCTGCCAAGGCTCCTCTTCCTTACCTTAATTGTCTCTACTACCAATTCCCACCCAGGCCTGTCTCGGCATTTCACCCCAGGCAGCTCTGCCTCTATCCCCAAGGCCTAATCAAGATGTCACCACAAGCTCCCACTGTCCAAGTCACCGTCTTTGCTTAGCAACACCAAACACCCTTTCCCATCCTCCGCAAGTACAAGGAGGAACGCCCCCTCCCCCCTACACACACATACACACACACACACAGCCCATCCTCTCCCTCTCCTCAGGCTTGGGAGTTGTTACTGAATTGGCTCCCTAGCCCCAGCACCCCCCTGCCCCCCTCCACTAGCCGCCTTCTGCCTGAACTTACATTATCCTTCCCTTGCCGGTGAGACCCTGGGGTGCGAACGCGGCCGCCGCCTTGGAAACGGCGAGGGAGTGCGGGTGGTGTGTGCATGTCTGCGTCTCGGTGGCAGGCAGGGGTGAGCCCAGCCACTCACCTTCCAGGAAGCGTGGATTCCTGGAAGTGAGGGGAACCGCCGTCATTTCGCAGGCAGCGGCAGCGGCACGGTGAGCAGGGGCCCACGGCTGCAGCCAGCAAGAACAGCTCAGCCCAGGGTGTATGTGTGTTGAGTGTGTGTGTATATATGTGTGTGTGTGAGAGAGAGAGAGAGAGAGGGAGAGAGAGGGAGGGAGGGAGAGAAAAACAGAGAGCTTGGATGTTCTTGAGGAGGGGGCTGGAGAGAATGTCTGTGTGTGTATTGTAGGGGATGTTAGGCTACAGCATCCCTTTTCCAAGACAGTGAAGGGGGTGGGGGTGTGCACAAGGAGGGAGAGGCAGATGCCGTTGCCCTCGTGCCCAGCAGACAAAGAAGAACTGCACAACAAATGCCTGAGAGAGGCAAGAGAGAGTGTCTGTGTGTGTGTGTGTGTGTGTGTGTGTGAGAGAGAGAGAGAGAGAGAGAGATGGATGGGCCTGCGGGTGGGAGGGAGAAAAGGGGGGCCCCCAGGGAAGGCCCAATCCTCTGCCAGCTGGGGAAGCCAAGGCCCCAGAGGTCATGGGGCCCAGGACACGAGCAGCTTCAAGGCTCTCAGATCAGCAGAAAGCCCCTCCCCAGCAAACTCAGGCACTCTTTCTGTCTCTCCCCCCTTCCAAGGAGGTTGCACTGTAGATCTGAGGACTGACAGCCCCCTCCTTCCCAGCAGTGAGAGGGCCCAGCCTGGTGTCAGGCTAGTGTTGCTCTCCCAGGCAAAAAGGCCGGTACACCCTCACCACCTCCCCTCCCTCCTGTGCCCCAGGGGCCCCAGCAGCCCACAGCCCTGGATGAATCCGCCCTCTATCAGGACAAGGCCTCTGCTCCCTTCCCTTTCAGAGGAGCTGCTCACTGACAAACTGACCTACTTTGGAAAACTACATTTTCTGATTCTAAGAATTTGGGGGTGGGAGGGGCCGTAAAACTTTGGGCTGCCTATCCCTGAATCCTTTTCTCTAAGATTCCTTTAAACATTTCACAGTCCCAGAAAACTTGGGGCAAGCACTGCTTAGTCAATTAACTGCATCAGCTGGGTCTGAGCAACTCAGTTTCCCTTGAAAGATAGGGGAATGGGGAGGAGGAATGGTGTGGTAAATTTATGGACTCCTGCTTATCTTCCCTTCTCCCCTGTCTGGGGAGGGAATGATCTGTACCTTGAGAAGGAGAAAAGGGGAGAAAAGATGGACTTTCTGAATCAGGTGCTGTGAGGTGCTCAAATCTCTTTAAAGAACAGGGCAGATACTCCCTTCACTGAGTGGCCAGGTGAGGAGGGTCCCCTGCAGTGGAAGTGGAAGAGCTGTGGTAGCCTGTGAAGGGCCCGTGGTGTGCTTTAGGAGGGTTGTACGCTGCAGCCTTTCCCTCTGTTTCCATATCGGCCCAGGAGAGAGGGGTCAGTGATGAGCTCTCAGGTGCCCCTTCAGTGGACTGTTTCAGCCATGCCCAATTCTACAGGGGGCACTTTCCAGAGCTAATGGTAGCCCTACCTTGACTTTTCCTTTTCCCTTTCTAAGGTAGCTGCTGAAATCTAGAATTCTCAAAGTACAGATGAAAGGTTTCTAGCCTCCACTTTCACTCAAAAAACATCCTGCGCAGAGGCCACTTCTTATCTAGGAAATGCCAATCTGCTAAAAGCAGGGAAAGCTTGGCTTCATACCACAGTGAAGCAAATATCCTCAGAACTTTTCTGCTAGTATCCAATATTCTCCAGAGACAGTATTTTTTTTTTTTTGAGACAGAGTTTCGCTTTGTTGCCTAGGCTAGAGTGAGTGCCATGGCGTCAGCCTAGCTCACAGCAACCTCAATCTCCTGGGCTCAAGGGATCCTTCTGTCTCAGCCTCCCAAGTAGCTGGGACTACAGGCATGAGCCACCATGCCCGGCTAATTTTTTCTATATATATTAGTTGGCCAATTAGTTTCTTTCTATTTATAGTAGAGACGGGGTCTCGCTCTTGCTCAGGCTGGTTTTGAACTCCTGACCTCGAGCAATCCACCCGCCTCGGCCTCCCAGAGAGCTAGGATTACAGGCGTGAGCCACCGCGCCCGGCCCAGAGACAGTATTTTTTTAAGACAGAGTCTCGATTCGTTGCCCAGGCTAGAGTAAGTGCCCTGGCATCAGCCTAGCTCACAGTAACCTCAAACTCCTGGGCTCAAGTGATCCTTCTGCCTCAGCCTCCCAAGTAGCTGGGACTACAGGCATGCGCCACCATGCCCGGCTAATTTTTTGTATATATATTAGTTGGCCAATTAATTTCTTTCTGTTTATAGTAGAGATGGGGTCTCACTCTTGCTCAGGCTGGTTTTGAACTCCTGACCTCGAGCAATCCTCCAGCCTTGGCCTCCCAGAGTGCTAGGATTATAGGTGTTAGCCACCGTGCCCAGCCCAGAGACAGTGATGAAAAGAACTCCATGGGATATCTTCCCAGCCACCTTCATAGTTTCTCATTTGCTTCCCTTATGGCAGGGACTAGTTTTTATCCATATGAGTGTTTCCTAGCACTACAGTAGGGTCCTGAGTGTGCTTGTTGCTCAACAGTAGTTTTCTTTTCTTTTTGAGACAGGGTCTCACTCTCTTGCCCAGGCTTGAATACAGTGACATGATCATAGCTCACTGCAGTCTCAAACTCCTAGGCTCAAGCAATCCTCCTGTTTCAGCATCCCTAGTAGCTGGGCCTATAGGCACCCATCACCACACTTGCTGTTTTTTTAAAAAAAAATTTGTAGGCTGAGCGGTGGTGGCTCACACCTGTAATCCTAGCACTCTGGGAGGCCAAGGCAGGTGGATTCTTTGAGCTCAGGAGTTCAAGACCAACCTGAGCAAGAGTGAGACCCCACCTCTACTAAAAGAAAAATAATAATAATCCTGACAGTCTGGTTTATATGAAAAAATAAAAATAAAAAAAGAAAGAAAGAAGGAAGGAAAAAAAGAAGGAAAAAAAAAAAGAAAGAAAGGCTGGGCGCGGTGGCTCACGCCTGTAATCCTAGCACTCTGGGAGGCTGAGGTGGGTGGATTGCTCAAGGTCAGGAGTTTGAAACCAGCCTGAGCAAGGGCGAGACCCCGTCTCTACTATAGATAGAAAGAAATTAATTGGCCAACTAATATATATAGAAAAATTTAGCCAGGCATGGTGGTGCATGCCTGTAGTCCCAGCTACTTGGGAGGCTGAGGCAGCAGGATTGCTTGAGCCCAGGAGTCTGAGGTTGCTGTGAGCTAGGCTGACGCCATGGCACTCACTCTAGCCTGGGCAACGAAGCAAGACTCTGTCAAAAAAAAAAAAAAAAGAAAGAAAGTAAGTAAGTAAGTAGCTGGGCAACTAAAATTATATAGAAAAATTAGCCAGGTATGGTGGCGCATGCCTATAGTCCCAGCTACTCAGGAGGCTGAGGCAGGAGGATCACTTGAGCCCCGGAGTTTGAAGTTGCTGTGAGCTAGGCTGATGCCACAGCACTCTAGCCTGTTTAAGAGAGTGAGACTCTGTCTCAAAAAAGAAATTTTTTTTTTTGGTAGAAATAGGGTCTTGCTTTGTTGCATAGGCTGGTCTTGAACTCCTAGCCTCAAGTGATCCTCCTGCCTCAGCCTCCCAAAGTGCTGAGATTACAGGTGTATAATCCAAAGTGCCCAGCCATGGTTTTCTAATAGACTTAACTGAGCAGAAGATAGGAGTATTGGCTGGTTCTTCAGAAGGGCCATGACTTTAGTTACAGTAGAGTGTCTTCCAGTTAAATTAGTCTGTCCCTGTCATTCTGTCCAGCATGTGGCAGGTACTGAATACCTTTACCCATTCTAACTCCTTTCTTCCTTAAACTAGAACAGGGTCAGAGTCAATGTCTTACCTTACACTATCCAGGTGTTGCCAATGACTCTCATATGTGTGTCTGACCCACCTTGCTATCTCCATCAGTAGTTCCACTTTAGAGTAAAAAATAAGCTATAGGTCATTTCCACAATGGTGGTTGGGTTTCTGCTGGGGATACTCATCACATCAAAACCCAATTCTGTGGCCAGGGGTGGTGGCTTACACCTGTAATCCTAGCACTTTGGGAGGCCATGGCAGGAGGATCACTTGAGTCCAGGTGTTTGAGATCAGCCTGAGCAATATAACAAGACCCTGTCTCTACAAAAATTAAAAAATTAGCCCAGCTTTTTATAAAGCCTATAGTGCCAGCTACTTAGGAGGCTGAGGCAGGAGGATTGCTTGAGCCCTGTTGTTTGAGGTTACAGTAAGCTATGATAACACTGTTATACTCTAGCCCAGGCAATGGAATGAAACCATATCTCAGAACAAAACAAAAGAATAAAAAACAACAGAAAGAAAACCCTGGCCGGGCATGGTGTCTCACGCCTATAATCCTAGCATTCTGGGAGGCCGAGGTGGGTGGATCTCTTAAGGTCAGGAGTTTGAAACCAGCCTGAGCAAAAGCGAGACCCCTTCTGTACTAAAAATAGAAAGAAATTAGCCCAGGAGTTTGAGGTTGCTGTGAGCTAGGCTGACGCCACGGCACTCACTCTACCCTGGGCAACAGAGTGAGACTCTGTCTCAAAAAAAAAAAAAAAGAAAGAAATTAATTGGCCATCTAAAAATATACAGAAAAAATTAGCCGGGCATGGTGGTGCATGCCAGTAGGTCTCAGCTACTCGGGAGGCTGAGGCAGAAGGATTGCTTGAGCCCAGGAGTTTGAGGTTGCTGTGAGCTAGGCTGACACCACGGCACACTAGCCAGGGCAACCAAGTGAGACTCTGTCTAAAAAAAAAAGAAAAACCCAATTCTGGCTTCCTCTAATAAATAATTTCCTACCCTGACATGCTAATGGTCTAAACAATGATTTCTTCCATCTTAGAGATGACTCTGTCTTAGGCCCTTCCCTAAACTCTCAGAGAGGGAGCTAGATAAAATTTCTAATTTCTTTTCAGTTTGTTAAACTTGTTAAATTTGATTACTTTCATATCTCTAAAAGCCATTTATACTATAAACTATGATTTCTTCTGCTTTAGTAAGAATATTTGGGCAGGTGCAAAAAACTATAACATGTTAAGATTGTGGAAAAGGATTGGGGAATGAGATTTGGGCTCTATATCCCTACCTTCAAAGCCTGAAAACTGGTGGCCCATTGGCTGAATTCAGCCCATAGATAAGTCTGACTTGCTCTTTGGAATGTTTTTTAAAATATTGAGTCATTATTTTGAAATAGAGATATTTTATATAAAAATGTGGATTTCTGGTTAGTCTTGAAAAGTTGGAAGTTTTTTTATTAAATTTATTAATTTTAAACATTAAATATTTATTATTATTAATTAATTAATTTATTTTTTGCTGTGCAACAGGGATTGCTTTTCAGAGTAAGGTTGGAAGTTTTGGCCACACTAGATATACTACATGGCAGTGACTGGTGGACACTGAATAGCTGCTGTCCCTTTAGGTGGGACATGTGTGCACCAGTTCATGACAGCTGCCACCATTCTCTTCTGCTTATTATCCTAACCTTACTTCACTCATTGAAATACCCACCTGGCCCCTGCAGGCCTTTGAGGTTTGAAACCCTGCTCCACTCTCTACCTGGACTGGATGGAATTTCATGGTTGGCTGGTGTCTTTAGAGTACAGAAGGAACCAAATCTTCCTTCTATCTATTTGCTTCATATCATTCCTGTAATGGTAACCACTCATATTCCCTTCTGTTTCCCTAACCCCCAAGAAATCTGGGAGAGAATCACTATTTAGGGAATGTAAAAAACACCAAATTAATTACACACTACCAAGAACTACCAAGCAAGCATGAGTGTCAGCTGTGTAACTAGAACGTTTAGAGGTTGTGAGCCTAGGCTGAAGGCTCTCTGCCTTGCTCCACAGAAGAGTGTTTGTTCCTAGCCCCTTACAAATAGAACACACAGAGGCATACCAGACATATAGGAGCGGCCATTGCAGTCTTCTATGTCCATTTTAAAGAGATTCTGCTGAAAGAGAAAATAGCTGCTATTAGAAGCTAGATCTGGGAAGAGAAGTTTTTTCTATAACATTCTTGAGCTAGTGAGAAACCCAAAGCATCACTTAATCGTGGTCTGATACTATACTAAAGAAGAAAAACCTCGTACTTTGTCCTGGTGAGAAAGACAAAGTACCTTGATTTATAAACTCCAAAATTTCCTCCCACCCTCAACTTCTGCAGGCCTCCCCAGCCTCTGGGGTAGAAACACTATCTTAACCCAGGATGGTCCTGGATTATGAGAGTAGACCCTCTCTCTGTAGGTGGAGCTCATGCTGCAGGAGACAGGTTATATCTCACTCCACAGGAGGCCAAGCCTTTAGACTCTCAGCAGGGGTCCTCAAACTTTTTAAACAGGGGGCCAGTTCACTGTCCCTCAGACCACTGGAGGGCCGGACTATAGTTTAAAAAAAAACTATGGGCTGGGTGCGGTGGCTCACGCCTGTAATCCTAGCACTCTGGGAGGCCGAGGTGGGCGGATTGCTCGAGTTCAGGAGTTCAAAACCAGCCTGAGCAAGAGCAAGACCCCCATCTCTACTATAAATAGAAATAACTTAATTGGCCAACTAATATATACATAAAAAATTAGCCGGGCATGGTGGCACATGCCTGTAGTCCCAGCTACTCGGGAGGCTGAGGCAGCAGGATTGCTTGAGTCCAGGAGTCTGAGGTTGCTGTGAGCTAGGCTGACGCCACGGCACTCACTCTAGCCTGGGCAACAAAATGAGACTCTGTCTCAAAAAAAAACA